AAGTGTAAACAGGTCTTTAATTAAGATTCTTCAAAATTTTATAACAGGAAAGGTGGAAGGTTATTTACTTTTTGAAATAATCCTGAAAAGTAAAACATTTCTTCCTTTCACTTTTAAAGAATGTTAAGAATGAGAATTGAATTTGTGGCTTTTGCATAAATTCGTTCTTCATTTAGTTTCATTTTCACTATTACTATTATTAGAGTACTGACTGTTGATATACAAATAAATAAACAATCCGCATAACTTCCAGGCAGTAGCTAATTAATTTATAGACATCTGTCTTAAACGCTGGTCAAAGATTTCGATAAACGCTCTTACAACTGAACATATAGCAGAGTAAAATGTTTTGATCAATATCAAACTATGCGACTGAAATCTGGCAAACTAATAAAATACGTACAGTTTACATGTTTCGTCGCCGAATCGAGGAATTAATTAATAAAATTAAAACATCAGTTAAGAAATTATCTTTCGGAAAACAGAACAAATTTCCAAAACCGTAAGGACTCGCAAGAATTCCAAAGCCTTTTCACAGACACAAATCAGTCTTCGACAAAAACGGTCTTCTCAAAAGGACGTCAAAAGTTATATAACTGTCGCTTTACAGTAAGTTAATATGTTGAATGTTGAATCATTTTCAATAGAAAGAACTGAGCCATGACTTCATGATCAATAGAGTTGAGGTTTCCAGCAGAGCAAATGGAATCATAATTCCAATTCTGCGAATCAGACCGAAAGTTGGGGGAACTATATAGGCTAGTTAGCTTAACAAAGGCCCTGTGTTGAAATAAATTTGAATTTAATTGAACTGAATTGGATTGAACTGAAGAATTGAATGGAGGCAAAGATTCTGTAATCAAAGCGTCACATTTAGGTCACATTTATACATTTGACTTTGTACATGATCCCAATATAGATAACCAACTCGCTAAACTGATCTATTATAGTCACTGTTGGCCAAGTTTAACAGATGCTCTCAATTGCTTTAGACAAACTACACATTCCTCATAGTCACATGATCTTAAATTACTTTAAAATAATTATGGGTAAATATCAAGATTTTGTTGGCATCTCTGCACTTGATTGAATAATAGTTGAATGATATTGCAGATGGAAATTATCAAGGGGAAATTTATATACATTTATTTACCTAACCAGCAACAGCAGCGAAAAATGCAACTTATATAGGGACTGCCAGGGGCCTATACTCTATAGTTGCATTTTTCACAGTTGTTCCTTGTTAGGTCTAATATTAATAAACATGTATATAAATTTCCACTCGATAATTTCCATTACAATACCCTTCGACTTTAAAATAATTATATATCACGTGCATATCTTACCACTATTCAATTGACAATTGTCTTTGTCTTCTCGTACAAGCGAATTCGTCGTTTCCTGCGGAAAGAAAAAAAAAACATGTAATAATGATTCTTCAAAATTTTATAACAGGAAAAGTAGAAGGTTGTTTACTTTTCGAAATAATCATGAAAAGTAAAAAATTTCTTCCTTTCACTTTTAAAGAATGTTAAGAATGATGAAATTAAATCTGTTGCTTTTGCATAAATTCATTCGTCATTTGCCATTTGGTTTCATTTTCACTATTAGGCTACAGACTGTCGATATGATGCTTTCAGCGCGATTTTCTATTACTAGCGCCTCCAAAAATAACGTTTTATTTAAAATGTCGCCTGTGCGTGAAGAAACCCGAATTTATTCTGCTTGAAAACGACCAAACTCCTGTGTATTACAAATGATAAACAATCAACTTCCGGGCAGTAGATGATTTATAGACATCTGTCTTAAACGCTGGTCAAAAAAGATTTTGTCTTTTTTTACAAACGCTCTTACAAACATATAGCATAGCAGGGTAAAACGTTACGTTTTGATCAATATCAAACTATATGCGACTGAAATTTGGCAAACTAATAAAATACTTACAGTTTACATGTTTCGTCACTGAATTATCGAGGAATTAAAAAAATCAGTTAAGAAGTTATCTTTGAAAACAGAACAAATTTCCAAAATGGTAAGGACTTGCAAGAATTCCAAAGCTTTTCCATAGACACAAATCTCCAACCACAACGGCCTTCTTGACTCTTAAGTGAAAAGGGCGTCGAAAGTTATATAACTGAAGCTTTGCGTGTTGTTGAAGTCAACAGAATGTTGAACTGATCATATTCAATAGAAAGAACTGAGCCATGACTTCATGACCAATGGAGTTGAAGTTTCTAGCAAAACAAATGCAATTATAATTCCTGCAGTTCTGCGAATAAGACCGAAAGGTGGGGGGGGGATTATTTAGCTTAGCAAAGGCCGACAGTGTCAAAATACTTACCGATTTGAATTCAACTGAACTGAATTGGATTGAACTGAAGAATTGGATCATCGAGGCAAAGATTCTGTATAAACGTTGATAATTTTGTAATCACTGTTCTCCCGTTAATACCATGCAGCAGCATTGCTGATGGTATTTTTAACAGTTTAAATAAGGTTTTATTTATTTATTTTAATAGTTGAGTGAATTAAACTTATCTAATGCTGGATAGTATTGTCCAATTTGTTCACTAGCTTGTTTGTTGCAAACAGCGCATATTTCAGTTGACAAAATGAGAAATTTTCAGATAGTTATTCTTATTGTTTGATTTAGAAGTTTTATTTACAGTAATTCACAAGATATCAGATATAATATAATCAATAATATCGGAGATCCTAATCAATAATGTGTGCCATATAGATTCTCTGAGATCACACCACCGGGATAGTTATGTACACTTAGGGTATTTACAGCTGGTCCATAGATTTCCTCTTGCATCACACCGTACATGTTCTCCGGTCGGAGAATGTTACCCATGGACCGGCTACCATATATGTTTTCCGATGGGATCATATCACCCACCGATGGGTTACCATATATGTTCTCCGGTGGGAGATTGTTACCCCCGTATACATTCTCCAGTTGGCCAATGTTACGCACGGATGGGTTGCCATATATGTTTTCCGGTAGGAGAATGTTACCCACAGATTGGTCCGGTCGGAGATTGTTACACTCGTATATATTCTCCGGTTGGGCAATGTTACCCACGGATGGGTTACCGTATATGTTCTCCGGTCGGAGAATGTTACCATATATGTTCTCTGGCCGAGTGCCGTAGATGCTTCCACCATAAATAGAACACATATCCATCACACTTTTCACATAAGCGTTGAGTAATGCTTGGCCATAAATTTCTTCCGGTTCGGGGTTGGGTAGGGATACTGATAGATCGTGGGGATCATCCATGGATTCCGAGAAGCTTTCGTCATACGAAATCCGTTTTGTCTTATTTTTGCCCTTAGACGTTTTGTTCTTTTTTGATGATTTTTGTTTTTTCTTTTTCTTTCGCGATGACGTTTTAGTCTTACTGCCATCTGCAAAATATTATAGAATTTTAAACGCAGAATAATGATTCGAAACAAACATTCGAGAACAATTTAGGACTGTAAAGGCATGCAATATCCAATATACAAATAAAATAATTTGTAGATGGAAGGCCCTATGGCTATGAATTTATCGCCATGCAAACCTACAAAGAATTGATAAAGGCATAGAATATAAATACAGCAACTTTAGTTGCTTAGATTTCCTCCTGTAGTAGCACTGGACCAATATGAGATGACCTTACAGAATCTCCAGAGAGAAAAGTTTGAAACTGACCAAAAACTAAAGTTAGCTTAGTTTACAAGTTTCCTCAAATCCTCAGTCATGTGAATAGCATATTGGACCGTACTAAAACTAAAAACTGGGCCTCTAAGGAAAAAAAGTTATACTGAAAGTATGTATATTCAATATAATATAAAGTTAGTTTATAGTTTCTATTTCAATACCAGAATCGTCATCACTTGTTCCACTTCCGCGACTAGAATTACTTGAGTTAAAATCCGATTCTTCTGAATCACTAGGAATGGACATAAGAAGACTGGATATGATCAAATGCGCTTTACATCAAGTATTACGCTTACCTAATTACATACTTAGCCTAGACTATTTATCTTTACAACAATTGTGATATTACTTTCTTAACTGTGTTTATATCCTAACCCACCCTGTCAACTTTCCCTGTGAGAGAAAACCAGAGCACCCGGAGAAAACCTACAACTTTCGGCAGAGTGTCGACTGACTCTTTTCACTTGACTCCGAAGCGAGAATCGGACCCACGATCTCAGAGGCGAAAGACGCATGCTCTGACGTCTGACTATACTTAGATTTACTCTAGATTGTAGAACCCTGAATGCAGAAATAAAACAACACCTTGAACACTTTTCTCTCTCTTCCTGTTGTTTCCTTACTCTTTGGCGCCATAAATCACGTCGACGCTTCCTCCAAGGACTGCAAAAAACCCCCCAAAAAAACAAAGATTAAAAGATTCATGAACGAAAGACTAGAAAAAAAGCGTATCGGTCATATATGACTTTGTATCTTTAAAATGTATAGTCAAAAATGACTTTGAAAGATGATTTTGAAATTTTGAAAACATTTTGAAAACTTGTCCACAATTGGGAACAAGCACGCAAAGACATCTTGTTTTCAATTAGCCATGTGAGGTTTTTATGCGTGTGTTACAGTTAAGACAACAGAGAGCAGTTTACCTCGTATAAGGCACATAGCCAGTGACCAACAATGAAATGAAGACAACAAATCCAATTATTGCCAAAAAACTCAGGCTTCCAGCTGCAATTCCTGCTTTAGCCAGAGCGAGATCTAAGAGTTGGCAAAGAATCTTTTTAGAAGTACAAACTTTAATCAGAGATCGTAGCTATATATGACCATGCTCACGAGTACGTTTACACAACGGTATAAATATACATACTATAGCTAATGTTTTTCTTTAAGGTGTTTGAATCAAAACAAACACGAAATTTTAGCTGTATGTTCTCCTCTCATCAAATGCATACTGGAGCGTGGTTATATATACTGAAAACGGTTGTAGTTACACATGGTAACACAGATGAAACTTCAGCACCAATATATGTAGCACCATAGTTTTTTATTCAAGGATTTTGTAGATGGAAATCTTGAGTATAAATTTAAAACATTAATTTAAAGCTCGACAACTGGCATCTATAGCTCAGTTGGTTAGAGCGTTGCACCGGAATTGCAGGGCCACGGGTTCGAAGCCTCACTGCTGTTTCTATATATTCTCAGTTTTTTATTTTGTACACTTACAGATTTTGTTCGACTTCTTTACGTATGTCACATCCGCTAAAAAAGAATCAAATAAAAATATTTAAAACTATAAAGGTTCGGGAATTCGAACTCCGGTAGTCCGCTTTCCTCCCACAGGGAACGTTTAAAACAGGATGGCGAACCTAACTATCCCTCACCTTCCCCAGAGGTCTTCTGATGTACAACACTTGGCGGGCCGAAACCAACAACGGTCCCAGCTTTTATTTCAATAATATATTCCGTCTTTTCTTTTAAGCTACCAAACGTCCAAGTCAATATTGCACTAGCTACCATTTTACTTGAAACCATTTTAAGATAACCGCTATCTAGTTGCTCGTAAATCTCGATTTTATATGATTTTAGTATTCCGTTTATCTCGTTTTCGTCAGGGCTTTTCCATGCCACAGTTACAGAAGTCTCGTTGAATGTGGGAACGGAAATTTCAGCTGGAGTGCCTGATGGTACTGAAAGAAATGAAAAACAAGGCTAAACTAAAGTAGTTTTGTTTATACTGGATAGCTCTGTTCTTCATAGATATCGAGTAAGCGCTATCCTATTATACTTATAGGTTCAGTGTTACTATACGGAGGAAACGTAAACTAAACTACCGTTGTTGATCACACAAGATAGCTCTATCAGGTCTGAACTACTTTCCGTTCAGTTTTACTACAGGAAAAACCTAAACTAAATTACCATTGTTCATACTGGATAGCTCTATTAGTTCCAATTTTTTGTCATCTTATATACTGGAATGCAGTTTACTTATTGCTTTAAAATATTCCAAAAGCGTTACGTCTGCAAGTCGAGATTGTCTTGTGCCAAGATTGAGGTTTACCTCAATGTGTGACACTATACGTTCTCTGAAATCCACATATGCAATAAGTTTTATATTTGACTTACACATCAGGAAATTGTTATTTTTGCATTTTGCTGCCAAAAAGAAAAATATATTTTTTGCTATATGAGACCTGATATATGGTTTCAGTCCAACTTTTGCCAATCAGCGTTTATTCCCCCACCCTCTTCCCCATCATAACTGAGCAACACTATACTTACCCCACTCCCCTGTTCTATGATGAAACTCAGTCTGCGGACCATATCCCCCGGAAGTACCCGCCTCAACACTGACAGCATACCAGGTATAAGGCTTTAATCCAGCTATAGGTAAACGACGTTCTGTCCCCCCTACCACCACGTTATTATGACATAGGCTACTATCGCTGACTTCTTTGGCACACAAACGATATGATACGATAATACCATTCCTTTTTTCCACTTCCGGTGGAGACCACGTGATCTCTAAAACAGTCGGACCCAGTCTCTTTATGAAAACTGTTGTAGGACCTCCAGACGGAGCTAAATGAGAGAAACACACGAGTTGATGATGGTGGCATATATTTTATACTGGATAGCTCTATTTAACGTTGTGTTGTCTCCTAGAGATCGATTTTCTATTTGTTCAATTAACCCTTGAATGAACTCTACAGGACAACATCTAGACTAAACTAACTTAGTATATATTTGAGTTTAAATGTTCTTACTAGAGGTCCAGTAAAGTTTATCGCTTATTGATTACACTAAATTACATTACTTGTCTTACTTATAGTGAATGCATGGTTCCACTAGGTCTAAACTTCCGATAACTCAAAGCAGAAAGGACCAACTTTACTAATGCATTGTTCCAAAAACAATCTGAAAAAAAGATTGTAATACTCACGTGCCGAAAGTGTCCAATGGCGGATTGATGTGGGAAGTCCCCATCCTACCACTGTTGCCGCTCTGATGAGAATCAAATATTCTTTGAAAGGCTGGAGATCGGAGAGAATGAAATTCCGAGAACCAGATGGTATATTCTGGAAACTTGAACACGAATGCTCCAGCTCGTATTCTTGATAACACAGTGAGTATGTGGTGATGATGCCATTTCGTGACTTCTCAGGAACCTTGGTCCAGTACAGTCGAATTGAGTTTGTTGTTGTGCCCAGAATGTCTATAGTTTCTGGACCAGAAGATGGTGCTAGGGAGGTAACAGAATTATTACTCCTCCAAATACCGATTTATAATACCACCACTGGCCAGAGAACATTTCATTATAGAGGGGCGAAACTATGGAATGATCTGGACGATAACATGAAACAAATGTCATCTTTGAGAAGTTTTAAGAATAAATTAAAGAAAGACATGTTAGATAGACTGTATTCTTAGTAATGGACTATTTTAATAATAGAAGATTTTTTGTAGTAAATTTTTAAATATGTAATGTTAACCTTGTTTTTTAATCACCATTCCATGTAAATTAGTGTTGAAAAGCCTCTTTGAGGAACACAATAAAGTATGTATGTATGTATGTATGTATGTATGTATGTATGTATGTATGTATGTATGTATGTATGTATGTATGTATGTATGTATGTATGTATGTATGTATGTATGTAATGGAAAGAGATGAAAACAAAAGGAGACGCAGGAATGGATGGAAAGAAATGGAGAAGAGAGAGGGCAGAAAGAGACAGGGAGTGAGGAAGGAAGGAGAAAGCGCCTTTCACCTCTGAGGTCACCTTTCACCTCGATTCTCGCGTCGAACTCGCGATACCTATGTGAAAAGAGTCAGTCAACGCTCTACCGAAAGTCGTGAGTTTTCTCCGTGAACTTTGGTTACTCCCACAGGGAATGTTGACTGGGTGGGTTGGGATAAGCCCCAAAATGACCCTTCCCGCGTAGCTTTGCTCCGTGATCAGATATGTATCATTAGGTACCTGCCAGAGACGCCCTTAGAAAGTCTTTGTTTCGATGGAAGAAGGAAAGAATGAATCATACTTTCTAATGAATGTTTGAGTGAAAGAAGAAATCATAAAATAAAGATACCAACGAATATATTAAAGCAACCAACCCGCTTGCTCTGTCCGATGCACAACAGAAATAGGAGAGCCTTCCCCAGCAACATTATAAGACGCAATCTCAATCACGTATTCAGTATACGGCTTTAGACCCTCGATCCACTTTGTTCTCTCGTCATCCTCTGCATACGTCTTGTTGTTCTGACACGTGATCAATGAAGTTTCCTTTGGACATATGACGTAACCTTGTATATCACCGTTCTTGTCAGCTATCGTGGAGGGTTTCCAGGCAACCACCAATGACGTGGCATTCGATGATATGATAGATACTGAGTCGGGACTGACAGCTGGATAAAAGCAATGATAAGTAATAATTATCAATAAATTGGGTTTATAGAGAGAGATAATCTCTCCTTACACACTGCTAATACTGTTATCCCTCTTTTAATGCGACACCTCTCTAATACAAACACTCCTTTCCAGTACTGACGCATTTCTAATATGGCCGACTTTCTAACACAGAAACCTCTCTAATATATACATCTCTCCAATATGGACTCCTGTCTAATACAGACACCTCTCTAACACGGATAGCTCTCTAATACGAACATCTCTCTAATACGACCACCTATGTAATACGGACACCCCTCTGATACGACCACCTGTCTAATACAAACACCTCTTAAATATGGACACCTCTGTAACATGAACACCTCTCCAATACAGACACCTCTCTAATATGCACCGCTCTCTAATACGAACATTTTCCTAATACAGACATAGTAAAATAAATGAGGTCCAGACCTGGTGCACAGCCATATATCTCAACTCTCATGCACTGGTGAGGTCCAAAAAAAGTGACAACTTCAAACCGGATATAACGAGTTAAAACAGGTTCATCCAGGTAGTGCTTGACAATTTCTCCTCCAGTGTTGCCTTGGATTTTCTAAACAAAAGATTCAAGGTTGTCACAAGGTCGAACGGGCTCTTGAAATGTAGACAATTTCCGCTCGGAATTTCCGTCTGCAAAATCTCTCCGACACCATCCAGTGGCGTAACCAACCCGACAACTCAGTCCCGCTACGCAAATATTGCCATGTTTATAAACTATCGACAAAATCATTTTCTAAGGAAATGAATAATGATAATGAGTTAAAATTTGCTTAGCGGGACCAAGTCGTCGGACTAGCTACGCCACTGATACCATCTGTAGTAGCACTGAACTAATACGAGAACTACTAAGAACCGAACTGGACCACTGAACCTGTAAGATTGGAAATGATAGAAAAATCAAGTATAAATAATGGTAGTTTCGTTGAGGTTTACCTTACCTCCTTACCGCTTACAGTGACTGTAGTCCAGCTGGCGCCATTCGTGCTATACAGAACCTTATATGACGTCACCCTAGCATCGAAGTGGCTTATATCCCCTCGTGTGGCTACAGCGATTATCCTTATAAGTCCTCCAATATCCACTTGTATGAATGCATCCTTCTTTGCCCCATCTTCACACCATATTTGAAGGTTGGAGAAACGCGCCTGGAATGCTTCGTGGCCATCACTAACATGGCCACTGGCCGAAAATTGAAAATTTTCGATCTTGTTTCGGTTGTTCAGGAGAGCATTGTCACACTTTCCTGAAGATAAAAAAATTCAACACATCACGTTTAGTTTTCCTTTTTAATGAGTTTGCCACTATGAGCTGAGTAAAGAAAGCTTTAACCCTTTATTTTGAAGGGCTGTCATTGATTTGCCACGTCATAAATCGTAAACTCTCTGATATGCATAATGGTGCAACACTACCTTTTCGGGAGACCTATGGTCTGTGTGGGTTTAGTGCACGTTGTGTGAAGAGTGTTGTAGATGGGAATTATTGAGTGGAAATTTATATACATTTATTACATCTTGTAGTAAATGATAAGAATTTCATCATTCTTCTTAGTCAGCAGTACTTACCCGCCATCTTCTGCACAAATGTAGACGGACCATACCCTATCTTAGTCGCGGCTTTAATTTCCACCAAATACTCTCGGTCGGGTTGGAGTTCGGTAAACAACTGTTGGGACTGGGTACCAGGCATGATTCTCGTGTCGTTACACGCGTATAACACGCCGAAAGCTCGGATGCAAAGAAAGTATGAAATAATGACGCCATTTTGTTTCTCCCTGGCCGGCGGTGACCACGCGACTTGAAATGTTGTCCCAGTGACATTTTTCACTTGTACAAATGTCGGCGGTCCAGACGGCGCTTTAGCAAAATAAAGAAAAAACTTTTAAAACCAACTTTGTTTATGATAACACCTACACACGCAAAAATCTCACATCTTGTAACAAGTCTGTCAACAAGCCGTCAACAAGTTGTGTTCGCACTGCCTGTCACAAGTTGTCAACAAGTTTGGAACAAGTTGTTAACAATTTGAAACAACCTTGTTGATATTATCAGGCTTTTTACAAGGTTGTTCTAACAAGTCTCATTAGTCATGATATAACAATATTGTTACAACCTTGTGTCGTCAAACTTGTAGTATTCTTGTTATATCATGGCTGTAACAAACTTGTTAGAACAATCTTGTAACAAGACTGATAATGCCATCAAGCTTGTTACAAGTTGTTAACAGCTTGTTCCAAACTTGTTACAACAACTGGGAACAAGCAGTGCGAACACAACTTGTCGACAGCTTGTGAACAGATTTGTAACAACTTGTTTGCAGACCTGTAACAACTTGTGCGTTTTTACGTGTGTAGACAACTCTATCAGAACCAGAAAATGTCGTGTCGTGGTCGCCACGCTTGCCTTTCAACCCACCTCTACTCAAGGTCTTAAAATAACTGAGGAGAAAGTGCTATTTTAATTTACATTGATATCAGTAAATGTAAAGACTTTGCGTCTTTTCGAATAAGAACGTTAAATCGTACTGTAGGTATACGTCGGGTCCCCTATCAATTGGGCTATTAATAGCCTGTTGGGAAATCCGCTCACCAATGAGTGAATGTGTCGTCGCTCACCTTCCATTAAAGTTCTAGCATTTAAAACAGCCGCTGGTCCAAGTCCTGCCTCAGTGCCAGCGCGTATTTCGATGACGTAATTCACGTAGGGTCTGAGATCGGTTGCTAAGTAGTTGACGTGATCCCTTGGCAACGTTATAGTACGCTTGCTTGTCAAGCTCCAAGGCTCGGGCAGAAGAGTGAGACGGTATTCTGTCAAGATACCATTGTGGTGTTCGGGTTTTGGTTCGTTCCAAGTCAGGTTGAGTTGAGTCGAGTTCAAGGAAGATACCATGAAGGATGAAGGCGAACTTGAGGGTGCTAAGACGATAAAATTTTAAGATTTAACCCTTGCCTGTCCGTATCGATCATACTGGCTCCCATAAAAGATAAAGAGAAGAATCTTTTATATGTTACGTAACACGCGCTCAAAACTTCTGAATATACTTTTACACTTGGTTATGACTATATTCAGTTTTTTTTAATTTTTCGGATACGTTTCTCAATCGGCAAGCAAATTTTAAAAGTATGTTTAGTACCTTATCTGTAAAATTATGCTAAAACGAAGAGATTTTAGATGGTATGCCAAAGAGAAAATCATGTCTGAAGTTCAGCAAGTTTTGCTTATGTTGATGTCATTTTGAGAGGAACGCCAAAAAATTTTAGATTTTGAACATTTTTTATCGCAAATACACGATATTGAAATTAATTGCCTCCTAAAACACTTTTACACACAGGATTCTAGCTTCAGCATGTGCTAAAATGCCGTCAAATCAGTATTTTTTTGTCCATCAATTTATGTTTTTACCAAGTCAATGTTTTCACCGTCTAAACCTAAACAATCCTAACCTTAAGCAATCCTGGTTTACCTGGAGGTCTACTTAACATTCTCACTGACCTGCTTCCGACGTTCTGTTAGTCACAAATACGCTAGGTCCATACCCTACGGAAGTTGCCGCGCTAATGATGACGTCATACACTGTAAACGGCGCCAAATTAGACACCGTGTAGTTCTGCTGACTACCGGTCGAAATCCTGTCTTTGCATTGGTCAGTTATTTTGAAACTTCGAACACAGATTTTGTAACTCTGAATGATGCCATTTCGTAGTCCTTGCTTGGGTGGCGTCCACGTGACGGTCATTGACGACGAGTTCACGAAGGTTACACGAAGATTGGTCGGCGGACCACTCGGAGCTGAAAAATGGAAAGAGTAAAAATTTAGGTAATTCTCATGCAAATCCGCGTGGACGTCATCGATTTTTATCTCACTATGTACAGATCTTTGCCAAGAATGGACCTCAGAATTGAAAATTTGAAATTTACGATATAGGCTAATTTTACCTACCCTGGATTCCAGAGCCTTCAGCAAATAATAAATTGAAACGTCGTGAAGGCTCTGGATCAACGAGAGGATTCTTTGATTAAACCGCGCCAATCACAAAACAGAATTAGTGGTTTTAGTACAGAATCTGTACTATTAAAACCACTAATTCTGTTTTGTGATTTGCGCGGTTTAATCAAAGAATCCGTTGTCTTTTCATTGTTTGAAAATCTCACTGTTTTCCATGCCACCCAGTCTCTTATTATTTGACTAATACGAACATTTATGCAAAGATTCTATTCACAATTTACGATAAATAACATGCTCTGTTAATAATTGTTCTTTCTTATATTCTACGCTTTCGTAAGTTAGATGTCCACCAAACTCAGCCAAAATCTTTGTCCCATATTTTTTGTCCATGTTTAATATTTATGCAAACTTGTGCATAGTCAAGCCAATGAATTTTGGGCATAATAAAGAACTAATCGATCAAATGGCACCCCCTCGCCAAATCACTCAACTATACTGGGAAAAAGTTACTGACCTGCTTCCAATGTTTTGCTAATCACCAACATACTAGGTCCATACCCCACGGAGGTGGCCGCGCTAACAATGACGTCATACACAGTGTAAGGTGCGAGACCGGAAGCCAAGTATCTCTCCTGACTGCCTGGTAGAACTACGTCCTCACACCGGGCAATCATCGTATAGGTTCGAACACACACATTGTAATTCTGAATGATGCCATTTTGTAGTATCAGCTCGGGTGGCGACCACGCGGCGATCATTGACGTCGAGTTCACGAAGGTGATACGAAGGTTGGTCGGAGGACCACTCGGAGCTGGAATGAATTCAAATATGACATCAGAGATTGATCACAATATTCAGATAATGAACATTCCATAACCGTGATTCCGTTGAACATTTGCGCAAAAACTTACTGAAGGTCCAGTAAGGTCCGGGCCTTGGATCCATCCTAATTTGTCCAGTGTTACTACAGGAGGAAACTAGAGTAGAAAATCTGCAGTACTCGGCAGACTCCGTGAGCTCTATATATATATCTGGAGTGAGAACTTCAGTCATTCGCCCCACGAGAAAAGTGAAACCAAGACGGCGGCCATTGACGTCCAATATAACTCTGAAGATCCGCGTAAACAGTTTTAACCCCATTTTTCCCTAGTTAATTCCAGTTTTTCTAACGGACCGTACCGCTAATAAAGTTATCAGTTCATAAAACCATAGATTTTTTCTTTGAATCAAAGTCAAAATACGAAATTTCCGCACTTTAATTTACAGACCGCGCAGACAAAAACAACAGAAAAGGACTGAAACTGACGTCCAATATAGTTCCATCTTTGACTTCAGTTGTTGGACTCGAGTTCTCATTCCAGATATTATGGAGCTCACTGGGCAGACTCAAATTGCATTCATGCATGTGACTGCAAAATTATAATCAGACAACTGCATATATTATCCATATTGAAAGAATCAAACCCCTTCCCAGAAGTGAAATGTAACCAATGTACTATCACCAAATAAGAAATGAAAAGTCCTCGTCCCTCACCTGATTCTAAAGTTGTCGCATATTTCGGAGGGGAGAACGGACCGTAACCTAGCAACGCCGCTGCCCTTATCTTTAGTTCGTATTCCACATGCGGATGCAACTCGGTAACATTCCACTGTGTGCTGGCCGCGCCAATCTCGACGCAGCCTGAGGTAATAAATTCCCCAGAATAGCAGAGTTCATATTTCGATATACTGCCAGTAAATTTATCGGTTTTCGGAACAAGCCATTCTACCACCAAACTCGTAGTACTTGGGGATATTTTAGTTATGTTTGGATATGTAAATAAATCTGTAAAAATGAAAAGTTGAAAATTAAACATATTTTTTAGAGTAGATGATAGTTGAAATGTAGGAATCCAGTGTAGGCAGTATTCTACAATAAGCTACAACGAGCTTCTACCTTAAATGATATCTCAAACGTGGGGGCCTAGTGTGGCGGATAGCAATCTACAAGAAGCTGCCGTGGTTTGTGTCTAAACTACCTGAAAAGATATCTCAAACGTGGTGGTCCAGTGTAGGTAGTAGTATTCTACACACGTAAAAATTTTACAACTTGTCAACAAAATGTGTTCGCAACAGGCCTGTAGCAAGCTTGTCAACAAGTTGTAACAACGCTGTTATTTTATCAAGTCGTTGATACAAAGTTGTCACTCACCACTTGTTATCAAGTCTGTCGAATCAACAACCTATTGTACCAAGTTGTCAACAAGCCGTTGACAACTTGAAAACAAGCTGGGAACAAGCAGTGCGAACACATCTTGATGACAAGTTGTTGGAACAGCATTGCTACAATTAGTCTGCTGCAGGTTTGTTGCAACTTGTGCGTTTTTACGTGTGTACAATAAGCTGCCACGGATTTTATCTGAACTACCTAAACGGAATACCTCAAACGTATTAGCTCAGTCTATATAGTATTCCAGCGAAAAAACTTCAAAAAAGCCTGGAACGAGGTTTCTAAACGTGTATTCGTTGTGGGCCAATGAGTTCCTTTACCTTCAGGCAATAAGATGTCAGTTTCGAGCACAGCTGGCCCAAGGGCGTATGTCGAAATTTTGGATTTCATCCATGATGCAAATCCCATGCCTTTCAGACATATCAGTGCATTCGATTCATCTTCATTGAGCACAGAAGGCGCATGAGGGCAGATGGCGATCAATGAGGCAGCGGCATCGTCGTAGTACGGGTGTCCACGGTGATATACAACCATTAAAATGATAACTTTGTTTGGTAAAGACGTAAGGAACGCCGTCATCTTGGATCCACTATTTAATCGGTCATGGAACGTGTTGAACGAATCTTGTCGAATTACATTTCCTGAGAGAAATGGAAACAATTAAACTTGTCCATGGGGTGCTTGATAGTGCCAAATCACTTGCTAGGAAATAAAAATGAATTCTGTTTCGAGTGACCCAACCGGCCGAGGGATTATTCATTGCAGCTGAGCTGGTCTAGAATGATTTGTTCAATAAAGCTCTTATAACGGTTTTGATAAAATCCAAAATGACATTTCAGTTCAACGATCTTTTATTGCCAGGAAAAAACTCGTGACACGATTTATCCCGGCTAGGCTGGCTCGGCTCATATGAACAGCCCCTGAGAATCGAACCCAAGGCCCTTAGTGGTTTATAATGATGTATCAGTGCTTACTTATTGGCCGAATGCCTGATTCAACAGACACTCGGAAAGATTGCAATGATTAGTCTGTGTGTACTTAGGTAAAATTATTTGAGAAATAGAAATAGAACCTGCGACCTTTGGTTTAGTAATCAACCTCGTATCCAGAGCATATTCGTTCTATACCCACCCTTAACCTGCGAACGGGCATGCTATGGATACGAGGTTGATGCTCTACTGGAGCTAGCCTCCTCCGCAGGCATCGCCTTTAGATTAGCGGGCAAAATTTGCTTTGTGCAGTTAGTGAACCACGAGATGCCTGCGGAGGAGGCTACGTTGGAGCGTTGTTAGCGTTCCTCCAACATGCCGCCATGTCGTCAAGTGGCCAAGAATGAATTAATTCAAAAGAATATTTTGACAAGTATATATGAACCACTGGTCAAACCTGTTCTTGCATCAAGTATGAGAAAATTATGTCCATATCGATTAAAAGTGTAAACTACACCAGCCACAGTGATGGTGGAGTAAGGCCGACCATACACACGATACAACACATCTTCTTTTAGTCTTGATACTAGTTTTACATTGATCCGAGAAGCATCTGAAATTAAATAAACGTCGTGTAGACGTGTACTCCTTAGCCAGCTGTTTAAGCGGAAAACAAAATCACTCTGCTATACACGTAAAAATCTCACAATTTGTCAACAAGTGTGTTCGCAACAAGCTTGCAGCAAGCGTGTCAACATGTTGTAACAATGCTGTTATTTCATGATTTTCATCAAGTTGCTACAAGGTCGTCACTCACAACATGTTGACAAATTGTTGATTTGCAGGACGATATATAACAAGTTGCTGGAACAACTTGTAACAAGTCTGCTGAGCTCAACAATTTTGTAGCAACAAGTTATCAACAAGTCGTTGACAACTTGTCAAATACTCAAACCGCATCTAAAATCGCAGCAAGAATTGCAACTGTGAACAAGTCTTAAGAATCTTACCCGTCTTAGTGGTGGAGGCTGTGAGGTTGAATGCCTCACCAGACATATTCGCAGACTGGGCACGAATTGTGATGGAATAATTGGTCAACGGTTGAAGCCCTCTAAAGCTGTACCGCAATCCATTATCCGTTGCTAAGTCACAAGTCTTAGTAAACCGGTGGCTGATGCATAAGCTGTAGTTGAACGGGTAGTCATAGTCGGTTAGGTAATCGTTTGGTCTTGACCATGTCAGCTTGATTGAAGTACCATCTCCGTAAACAACCTTCACGTTGCTTGGTGGACCACTTGGAGCTATAATGTAAAAAACGAAGCATTAATGATGATAATGATGATAATGATGATGATAATGATGATAATTATGATGATAATGATAATGATGATGATAATGATGATAATGATGATAATGATGATAATGATGATGATAATTATGATAATTATGATGATGATCTGATGGTGATGATGATATGATAATGGTAATAATATGATGATGATCATAATGATGATTATGATGTGATAATGATGATGATGATGATATGGTGATGATATGGATGTTGATGATAATGATATGATGGTACGGGAGAACATTTAATAACTAGACAGATCTAACCTGTCTAAATTAAGGCTGTAAATGTTTAGCTTAGTTTCAGTTTGGTCTATATAACCTTCGTTTGTCCAACTAACCTTTTTTCAATGTTATAAGCTTAGAAATTTTGGACGGCCCTTGGCCAATTTTTCTGCGCACACTTTCCCGCCAGTGTGGAATTGGACTTTGAGTCCCCTTGTAACCCAGCAAGGCCCACGATTCCCCATACTGGAGGTCTGCTTTGATTGGTTGGCCTACCAGTTTTTCCAAATATGGTACGGCCGCTTTGTAGTACCTTTCTCCGCTATAATACAGCACCATACAGACTACAGTATCAGGACTCACATTAGTAGTAAGGTTTACCATTTCAGTTTCAGAACTTCTTACTGTCCACGTCCTCATATATACGTCATATTTAAACTTGCCTAAAAAAAACAAACATATTTCTTCAAACTACATTACTTGTTTAAATTCGCGCAGACGATACATAATCATAGATATCTCTATGTACATAATAGATCTTTATGTCAATTATTACGCTTTTTTCAGAGTAGATTTAGAATTTGACATTAACATTTATGTACCGGTACTGTTTTTAAAATTTTGTACTTAATTTTTTGTACTTACTAAATTGGCCCGCTCTTTTCATTTCAGGAAGTTACATATACGTGGTATTTATATAGTACTAACATCAAATTGAAATTTACTCAATATGTGATGGAGGTCCATTATGACAAATTGTGTGTTCTTTATGAAAGCCGGATTCCAAAGTTGTTCCTAACTAAATGGAAGATCAGATTTCAGAAGAAACTTGCCTGTTTTTATGTCATATAATGTGAAATATATCCCTGGGTTTTTGAAAGTTATTATCTCGTCGTTGACATGTAACCTTGAATAAATGTTCAGACTAGGTCCAGCTTCAGCGACACCGTTGGAGATCATCTCGAGACGCAACACAGATGATGCTGAAATATATTTAGTTAGATACTTATTTAGGCACACGTTTTAGTCTAGTAAGAATTATAGTGTAGCATATTTGGTATACAAGTTTGGGATGTTGTCTCAGAGACATGAACATCATAAACATTAAACATATATCTTCACCTGTGTGTACTGCATAATGCCAGAAACAAAAAATTCAATAGTTGATCTTCAATATTATTGAGGTAGGACCATATCAAGGTGTATAATAGGTAAAAAATACTAGTACTTTCATTTCAATTTGGTGAAAGTCCGACTGGAATGGAAAATCCCATCCTCCACTGAATCGGAAATATTTTTACCGTATACCTTACCAATTATACCATACCGTACCATACCATACCGTACCATACCGTACCATACCATACCATACCATACCATACCATACCATACCATACCATACCGTACCGTACCGTACCGTACCGTACCATACCATATCATATCATATATCATACCATACCATACCATACCATATCATACCATACCATACCATACCATACCAATTACACTATACCTATAATACTATGCTGTACCATCGATTCCCAATTAATCTTACCCTTCTTTCCATAAACTTCTACTTCACAGAAATTTAGTATACCATAGTTAGTAGGAATTATAACACTGACATAGCGCCCTCTGAGTGGTTCTTCACAAACAATCTCAAGAGTCTCTCCCCGGCCGAGGAGTCGTTGAAATATCGGCGAGCATCTTGCGTTGATCACACCACCTCCGATATTATTGTCCCCTACCTAGGGAAAAAGACAACTTATTCACAATAATACTAAAGCCTGGATCTGAGAACACCATCCGCTCACCTTAATTTCAAAATTATACAATCTTTCGCTGCAACAATCCCGTCTGTTAGTTATTACAACAGAAGTGACGTAAAAATCATCCTGTAGATCAACCCTCCACCAAGATTCAATTTGGTTATCTGTCTGGATGCAAGATTTCTCGGAATAATCTGGATGTCGATTGCCATCAACTGCATTGGATGAGATGCCTTCTTCCACCACACTTGACTGTAAAGTTGGCTTGCCCAGAGCAAGATTTTCCCCTAGGAATTTAATGGAAAGAAGAATGTGATACATCGTACATTATTGGATTAAAAGAATATCAAATGTTTTCCATGCAGGACAGCGTCATTCATGCACACGGAATGTTGCGAGACTTTTGGAAAGCTTAAAAATCGAGTGTTTTTTTACGCTTTCCGAAGGTCGAGCAACATTCCAAGTGCCCGAGTGACGGTATCCTGCATGGAAAACATTTGATAATTTCCTTACCTTTGTCAAATTGATGTGAAAGACTAACTTTAATAAGTATTATGAGAACAATTAAGTTCAAAGTTTGAAATAACATCCTTTTTCATGTTATTTCGCATAGTTCAAATGATTCGCTTTATAAATTGCCATAATGGAAGGCATTGGTCGTTTTTTATGACGTCGTTAATTAAGGATTTTGCAACGCACGCAAACCAACGCGCGTCTAGGTAAGCGTGCTCATATTACAAGATTTTGATACATATATAGACATAGATATATAAGCGTGCTTTTGAGCATACCAAAATCCGTTATGCTCATGAGACGCTCGTGTAGGTATGCTCATGAACATTTTACAGGATTTTGGTACATATATGGGCGTGTTCAACAAAATCATGCACTATGCTCGTTTCTAACTAGTTTAAATTTTTAAAATTAAAATCTAATTTTAATTGCAATTCATCTCTTTACTAACGAAGTACATGATTACGATATTAGTGCTTGAAAAATCAAATTTATTTTGTAAAAACTCGCCTTAATAACAGGTCCATAAGCGCAATTCCCGGCTATACACACGTAAAAACACACAAGTTGCAACAAACCTGCGGCAGAATTGTAGCAATGTTGTTCCAACAACTTCTCAACAGGATGTGTTCGCACTGCTTGTTCCCAGCTTGTTGACAAGTTGTCAACAGCTTGCTGACAACTTGCTACAAGGTTGTCGAGCTCAACAGACTTGTTACAAATTGTTCCGACAACTTGTTATCGTCCTGCAATTCAACAATTTGTCAACAAGTTGTGAGTCACAACCTTGTTGCAACTTGATGAAATAACATGATTGTTACAACTTGTTGACAAGCTTGCTACAGGCCTGTTGCAAACACATCTTGTTAACAAGTTGTGACATTTTTACGATTTTTACATGTACACACGTAAAAACGGACAAGTTGTAACAAGTCTGCAAACAAGTTGTTACACGTCTGTTCCCAAGCTGTCAACAAGTTGTGCTCGCACTGCTTGTTCCCAGTTTGTCGTAACAAGTTTGAAACAAGCTGTTAACAACTTGTAACAAGCTTGATGGCATTATCAGCCTTGTTACAAGATTGTGCTAACAAGTTTGTTACAGCCATGATATAACAAGGATGTTACAAGGTTGTAACAATCTTGTTATATCAAGCATGTCACAGACTTGTCAGAACAACCTTGCAACAAGTCTGATAATTTCGACAAGGTTGTTACAAGTTGTCAACAAGTTGTTCCAAACCTGTTGACAACTTGTGACAAGTAGTGCGAATACATCTTGTTGACGGTTTGTGAACAGACTTGTAACAAACTTGTGCGTTTTTATGTGTGTACTTGTCAGGGATTTTCATAGAGATTCTACTACGATGACTTTGTAAATTTTTAGCAAGCAAAATATTAATGATTAAATTAATGATTATATTAATGATTCAATTTATGCAGAAGATAGTTTGTCCCGATATGATGTGTTCAAAAACTTGAAAAATTTGAAAAAAAGATTAAGTTTTATCTATATGCGATTTGAGGAATTCCTCGACTAATTCTCAATCTGTCACGTTATTTAAACTGCTGATGTTGGCAGCAGCGTGCAATGATGAATTAATTATACTTTTTTGATTGAAGTTCGGCCAAAAAAGTATTTTTATTGCACGCTGTAGAGGCAACGTCTTCAACAGGGTGAGCAGTTTGTTAAAAAAGCCCGCCAACTGAATTGCTTGTAGTATAGATTGGCTTTTTTAAACAAGGACGAACTGTTCAAATTATTCGGTAAGAAAACGTTTATGACAGAACCAAAAAGCCACGAAATAGTGCAAAATTATGCTGGATGGGTAAGACCGTAAGACGCCAGTTTTGGCTTTTTCTCGGTTCTTTTCAATGCAAAATAACTCCTTTCTATCCATCTAATCCTGTCCTACTATACCAGAATCTCGGTGCTCTTACAAACACAATAAGCACCGTCAGTATTCCAATCACCATAGCCGCGTACATAGAGAAACGATCTATGATCCTGGACGCTAGTACCCAGTCCTTGTTCCAATCACTCGGACCTTCCTCGATCCCATCTTGTTCTATGTTATCCGGGGTATCCTCATCACTCCTAGTTACCCTTAACGAACTTGAAGTTGAACTGCTCTCCTCCGTTGATTTAAAACTCACTAGACCCACTGTTGAATCATTTAAATCTGCTTCCAAAATGTCATTCCTCGTAGATGTGGTCTCTGTTAGTTCTATATCGAACTGCAAGTCAGGATTAGTATCCCGTGAGCTAGAAGAAAGCTGAAATTTTCTTTCCGAGAGCCTAAAAGAACGTTTAATTTTCCTCTGCTTCTTATCTTCAGACGGCGGTCGAATTCGCGTAATCTTAGCAAGATAATTGAGTATTATCACTTTCATAAATCCAGGCATCTCCGAGTGGGAGTGATGGTAAAAATTGAGTGTCAGTGTTGTGATGAGCAATGCAATGCCAATTTCAATGGTCGTGACAAGAAAATATTGTGAAATAAGCGGAAAATCTTGCAAAGGTACCACCTTCATCGTGAGTTGTTGAAAAAATGTCATCGCAAGAAGGATTAGCATTCCGAGGCTCATTCGCTCTCCAGATTCGGGAGGTAGAACAAATCCTGTAAAAAAAGAATTCAAAGCTATTTCAGACACGGTGCATTATAACATATACGGGAAACGGACCAAACTACTGCAGATGGCATCTACTCATCCCTTTATCTCCATTGTTTTTTTTGTCTAATCATTGCACTGTTTCAACTTTCAAGTGAGGCTAATCAGCCGGTCGTAAACACAAACTTACCCAAGATCGTCAAGCAAGAAATAAGAAAACATGGTGTTAGCATCTCGACAAAAAAATACAGAAAATCTCGCTCCATACTCAATGTGATCTCAACTATGGAGAAATTATTCATTCTTTTTTCATCCCAAATATTTTCTGTTTTTATACTTGTCTCATAGACAATCCACTCCTCATTCTTGTAAGCAGGAATAACATGGAGAAGCCTGGGTTGGGTGATGTATACTTCACTCGAGGGGTATGAGATGGAGCCAAAACGAAGCGAACATTTCTGGAGATCAAGAGGGAAGAATGAGACATCTATGGAACACATGGCGTGCAGAAACAGTGGGTATGTCCAGCGGCATGTGCCATTAGAGTACACGATGATATGTGTAGTGATCCCTGTTTTCTTGTGGTCCTTGTTTTCAATTCTAAACACGAACAAAATAGACATAAAGCGAAACTAAACCCAGAGGCATAGTTACAGGAGTAATGTGGGTATGGACCACCCGCTGCCCCCCACATTTCGTCATGACCAACTTTGTAATTCTTTCAAACTGACTAAAGAGAAACTGGTGGGGGGGTGTAGCTTCGTAATGCTCTCATCTATGACATAAAATATACTAAATCTTTAGCTTTCAAATTATCATAAAACGTGTCTAAAATGCCCATGCATTTTGCAAATCCCCCAACTATAACATTTTCCGGGCGACCATGCACGCCTCCGGATGGCCGTACAATTGGATCTCTCCACTAAACCTAAGCTATTCGTATTTTATTTATACTGGATAGCCATAGCAGTTCCAAGCTGTTCCTCTTAGAGGTAGAGTAAGGCCCACCTTAATTGATTCAGTGTTACATAAGGAAACCTAAACTAAATTACTAATTTTATTAGTACTGGATATCTTAATTGTCACTTCTAAACTGTTCCTCGGAATGCTCCAGCAACAGCCATCTCGTATTGATCCAGATTCCAGAGTTATAACAAGGGGAAATCTAAAGTAGACTAACTTTCTTTAAACTGGACCTGTAGTTCAATCAAATTTTCTCTCTAGAGGTCCAGTAAGAACCATATCGTTATTGCTTCAGTGTTATCACAGGAAGAAATTTAAACTACATGCAATAACTTTTTTCTACTAGATATCATTATCAGTTCTAAACTGTTCTTCCCAAAAGTCCCAAGTAAGGGCTAGAATGTTACTGCACTGAAGAGGACCCGAAATTCCTTGGAAAAATCTGCGGTGTTTGAGCCGAACTACTTACTCGTTGTACAATTCAACATCGGGAACCCAGATTTCACTCGGTGCGATATTTATTGAAGAAAAGCCAGAATAATCAGACGCATTCCAGCACAGCGATCCATCGTGCCACTCCTAGACATCAAGTCAGGTTTTAATCAAATGTAATTTGTTACAATGTTACTTATACTTATGCAGCTAGGTTTATTGCAACCAGCTAAGTATGCCAACTTCAAAATTTATACCTGTCTCACAAATGATACGACACTCATTCTTTGCATCTTTGCGTTCTGTGAGAAAAAGAACATCAGATAAACATATTGAAATGAAAAACTCATACTTACAGGACTAACCGCAGCGACCGATGAAGGGTGTATGTGTGTGGGAGGAGGGGTAACAACATGGGGTGGCACCCTCCCAGTATTTGTTCGTGAGTAATTTCAGGTAAATTTCCAGGCGATTGAAGCTGGAGTAAGGTTTACTAAGAGCATTGCTAAGAATGCCAAATTTTAAACTGGTGCTGAAATTTGAATATCCCAGTTTTGCATTTTTAGAAGAAAGACGATGTTTTTGGCATTGTTTTTTTATTCTCATAGTGGAACTGTAGACCATCACCAGATAAAACCTCAGGTCAAACGATGATGAAAGTTTGAAACTAGATCTCGCTCATATTTGACCGCCGAATCTTATCGACTCTCATGAAAATTGAGATGGTTGAATGTTGATGAGTGGTGATGAGAGCTTTTACCATGCCTGGCACCAGTCAACAACTCTCACCCATTTCTCATTAACCCTCGTGCAAAGTCGTTTACCAGCCCTCGCAGTGGCGGCGGAACAGATTTCATTTTGGGGGGGCTAAATTTTTTTTCCGTGACCTTCCCCCCCCGTCGCCAAAAATATTTCGGTCAGTGTACCATTTTAGGGGTACAAAAATTTTTCCGGACATATACAAGAAAAGGGATGAAAAAAATTTTTCCGGACCTATAACAAAATTTTTTTCCGGAAATACACAATTTTTAAACAAAATATTGCAAATTTTTCCCCTCATACCTAAATTTTCAAAAAATACACTAAATTTTTCCTTAATTATCAAAATTTTTTCAGAAAAAACAAAATTTTCTGGGGGGCTAAGCCCCCCCCACTTTTACTTCTGGGGGGGGCTTTAGCCCCCCTAGCCCCCTGTTCCGCCGCCCCTGAGCCCTCGTCAGCTCTGATGTCGTGTATCCATCAGAAGTCTTAAGTCTTAACGTTTATTTTTCAATCAAAAATTACGAAATACGTTGATGGGATTGAACCGAATTTTAAGTAATGAAATCTGGGAAAGCAAAAAATGTAACTTAGGCCCTGTTTACATGGGGCCGGATGGTTTCAGCATCGTATTCAAATTCGTCCCGGCCCATTTCGCGGCTTGCATTCACGCGGGACGCATGATACCGGACGAATTCTATAAAAATCTCACAACTTGTCAATAAGATGTGTTCGCGCGCAACAGGCTTGTAGCAAGCTCGTCAACAAGTTGTAACAGTGCTGTTATTTTATCAAGTTGCCACAAGGTTGTCACTCACAACTTGTTGACAAATTGTTGAATTGCAGGACGATAACAAGTTGTTGGAACAACTTGTAACAAGTCTGTTGAGCTCAACAACCTTGTAGCAAGTTGTCAACAAGCCGTTGACAACTTGTCAACAAGCTGAGAACAAGCAGTGCGAACACATCCTGTTGACAAGTTGTTGGAACAGCATTGCTACAAGTCTGCTGCAGGTTTGTTACAACTTGTGCGTTTTTACGTGTGTAGCACAGCTGACCGTACGAATTCGAGACCAAATAAAATTAGGTCTTGTTTTGTACCGGAATGGCTCCTATATAGCTAAATTAGACGATGCCATGTAAACAGCGGAAGCGGTCTTTTTCAAGACCATTTGCATGGTAGAGCCAGAGGATTGAGGTTGACTGAGATGTTTGTCTCATAATTAATCCAGTTCCGTGTGAAAATGAGTAGGAACGGATAAATTTCATTTCGAATTTATCTAGCCCCGTGTGAACGTAGACTTACGTCACCGACTGATTTTAAAATAGATATTGCCACGGCCCACAGGCATGGGAAAAGATTTCTATCTGGTCCTATATCTATGCATATAAATTACGCTATTTCTCGATGCTGTATGAATACTAAATGAGAACTATAGCATTGTCGAAACGCATTAATATCAAACAATTAACAGCTTTATTATTAAAACTATATGCACCTGCAGTGGCACTAATTGGAGAAATTCCCTAAAAGTCAGCGAAAATATAAATAAAACAAAATTTAAAACGCAAAACAGTGAAAACAGGTTGGAATATTTATTCCCACGGTATCAGAAATTAGTCAAATTAATGTCATAAAAGACTGTTCACAAAATGATATGAGGTGGCCCGGTGGATATTCGATTGTGTCCAACTTTGTGTCAAATTTTTCCTTGGCGACAGGATTTTGATTAATCCAATAAAGACAGACAAGTTAAAGATGAGATAATTTGTCGTCTTGTCTGTCTTCATCGAGTTAGTCGATGAGAGTTGGCGTTCAAAGACGAGCGAGAGTTGCAACTCTCATTAACTCTCCCTGATCCTCGTTTGATCGGGGGATTATTACATTACGGCATTATAGTTTCCTAACTGTGTTTATCCTAACCCGCCCTGTTAACTTTCCCTGTGGGAGGAAACCGGAGCACCCGGTGAAAACCCACGACTTTCGGCAGAGCGTTGACTGACTCTTTTCACATGAGTCCGTAGCGAGTCGTCGGCAACAGTCGTAGAACTTTTACATCGGTACCACATGCTGGTCAAAGAAATCTACTGAAAATTCAAATTTCGACACGAAAGTTATATGTTATATGTTTATGAACACATATTGATACTGAAACGTACTATACATAACTGACCAGAATCAGAAAAACTAGTTTCCTCACTAATGAAACAAATTTCCATCTGACTTAAACATTGATATCAATATGGCAACGTACATTAACAAAATACATTATGCCGAGGAGGGCAGTCCTAGCAAATTGTCCGGCAAAACAGGCCCCCCTCTCGTTTGCCTGTGTTAACCGCATGCGCGAGTGAGAAAAGTTTGACTTACCACATCGTAAATTTTCGTCAGTTCAAAATTGAAAGATAAATTTAAAGCTTTATTCGGATCATTAACTGGCCTTGAACTCTTGCTGTAATTCTTCAAAACATTTTCGTATAATTTCTCTTGCGCTGTTGGAGTTCGTCGCTGCGGGAAAGCAATTACTTTCTCTGAAACTGAAAACAAACTTCTATGAATAAACACCGCAGTTCCAAAAATAAAAATATTAGTAGAAAAAAATATCGACAATATTTTTATGCAGGCACTGTAGA